GGTCCTCTGCCACATGCTGCACCACCCCCCCCACACCCGGGGCTGTGCTTACTGCCTGGGCCTCTCTGCCCCAGGCCCTTCCCCGACTTCTAGGGTAATGCTTGCCCTGTTTCCTCTTTGTAGCACACTCATGAAATCTGGGATCTCGGTTCCTGCAAAAAGATGGCCACTTCCCAGTGCCACAAGGTCCTACCCATTTCCAGTGGATAAACCAGGCCACAGAGCCGCTTTCCTTGGGGTAGCTGACTTCCAGTCCCTGCACCCCAGAAGTTCTGGTTCAGAGCTCTTGGAGTCCCTGCCCAGGTGGGCCAGTATGCAGCCCTCCCCAGCAGGGAACCCTTGAGATGTCTGGGGTCCAAGGGCCCTGGAGCAGTCTCTGAGGCTATGAAAAACTCCAGCTTAAATGGAAATGTGTAGCAGTCTGATCTGCTGGGCGTGAGAGGGCTCCCAGTGAGAATTGAGTCCCTGAATCTGTCTAATGCTGACCAGTGAGTGACCCCAGCCTTCACCAGACCTGTCCATCACCCTTCCAGTTCTGAAGTTCTGTATAGTTCTAGGACAGCCTCTGCCCTGGTAGCTGTTCCCTTTTACAGTCAATTCATGGGACCTGAGTGCAGGCTGCCTTTGGGGCTTGCACACACCCCTGGCACAGGGGAGAAGGCTGGGGATTGATGATGGTGAGCAGCCAGCTTCCCATTTGCCCACCAGAGAGCATACCCACTAGAGGCCTCCATCCCCACCTGCCCTCCTCGGTACCACCCAAACACCCTCTGCCTTGTCCTCCACTTTTGCCCTTGAGGGAACCCCCCTGTCCCCAGCCCACTGTGGGACAGCCTGACTCAGGCTGCCTCCTCCGGCAGCAGTGAGGGAGTATGAGCTCCTGTCTGTCCTTCCAGCCTCACCCTCAGCACAGCAGCTGGAGGCAGGGGAAGCAACACCTGCCTGCTCCTTGGGCTCTTTCATCTGCAACCTCCTCTCTCCCTAACCATGAGTCACTCACTATTGGGGTTAGGGGATGCAGCCCCAGAGAATTCTACCCAAAAAAGAGGGAGGAAAAGCTACCTCGGGGGATAGTTGCATGTACCCCAAGGCCAGGGGGCACTGAGGTCTGTGGGGCCCTGCTGTACTCCCCTGCTCCCTGTGCCCACAGGTGCCTAGGCCATAGGCAGCAGCATGAGGACCATAGGGACTCAGCCAGAAACACTGCCTTTTGTTCCCGTTAACTACCCAGGACCCAGATCCCAGGAGACAGGAGATTAGCGGGAGTGGTTTCAGCCCAGCCTCTCACCTCCATGTGTGGCTCACAGCTGCTTTCCGTGTGCTGCTGGGACATAGAGGGACCAGCGGGGACCTGCACCAGGGCAAGGAGCTTATTTCTGGCTTGCTCTGGTAGGTGCTGAGGTAGAGGGAGACTCCTGCAGAAGGGACCCCAAAGCAGGCTTTGGCATGGGGGAGAGGGGGAAGCCCAAGGGGAGGAGGGGCCTCCTCATGTTCTCCTAGTGTCCCCAAGACCACCCTTTGCCCCAGAGGGAAGAGCATGAGTTGGAAGTGCTCCACTGAAATCCACTTCTTGGAATCAGCCCCCATGGTGAGGAGAGAAACTTTGATTCTGCAGTGGCTCCTTGGAGAGGAACAACAGGGATGGCAGTGACAGACAAAACTGGCCACCGACCCTGGGGTGTGAGTCAGAGGACAGCCCTGGGAGGCTGGGAGAGGGGAGAAGTAAGAGGGTAACTTGGGGGCCTGGGGATCAAAGGCTAGCTCAGCAGGGCCTTTCTGTCCTCTGTCTGGCATGAGATGGTTTCTACCCCTGAGGTAACACGTGGTGGCCTCCCTGTTGTCCCTTGTTCCTTAGCTCCTAAGCCTTTGAGGAAAAAAACATACTGGCCTCCCTTTCCCAGGACCTGTCCCTGGCTGACATGTCTCTGCCTTCCTCTGGAGCCAGGGTTCTGGGCCTCTGGAGTGGAACATGGGGGGAGAAAAGGCAAGGCCAAGGACAACCTGCCTGGCCCTGCCAACCCCCAGGCCCAGCTCCCTGAAAAGCTTGAGGACTGGAGACTTCCCCTGGCGGGTGGGGGGGGGGTCGGTCCATCTGGCCTGGCTAGGGGTTCTTTCTCCTTTTAGGTGGGCCTGAGGGTTGGCTGGTCTCCCTCTCTCAGGGCAGGGGAAGGCAGGCCTTCCTGAGTCCCCATTCATACTTAACGAGGACCAGTGGCTTCAAGAGTTCTCAGTGTGCCCTGGCCACAGGGGCTAGGGGTGGGGGAGGCACCTGCCCCACTGGAGGAGGAACCCAGGTGTCCAGCCTCAAGAGTCAACTGCAGGGTCTTCTAATGACAATGTGAACAGAGAGAACATCTGATATAGCTGGGGACCTGACTCCTCCTTCAGCCAGGTCCGTGCCCAGAGTTGGCATGATGTGACTGAGGCCCTGGGCTCCCGGAAGTGCCTGTGACCAGGCCGGGCTTGGCAGTCACTCTTCAGTCTCGTGAAGCCTCCCCACCAAGTCTGGTGGATTCCCTGCTCTGTAGACTTCTCCCCTGCCCACACTGGGCCCACCTGCCACCCCAGACCCCTCATCGCTTCCTTCCAGTCTGGCCTCTGTTTCTTGCCTTTTGGGTCTCAAGTCTCACTGCCCCAACCATGGCCCGTCCTCCGTCCCCCCTGGCTTCACAGTCACATTTTGCTGCCAGCGCAGGGCACTGAAAAACTGCTGGCACTGCCAAAAACCCTGTGTGCGCTATGACTCCCCAAACATCCCTTTATTTTTATTGTTCTGTTAATTACTGTTTAAACTTTAATAAGTCACTTCGTCAGGAGGGGGGACCTGCCGTGAGCTTTTCTGTGCAAACACGGGCCGGGAGTGACTCGGGTGTAATATAACCCTTTATGCGATGTGGGAATGTTTAGATTGTAACAGAAACTTGTTATTTTAATGACAGTTGGGGGGATCTGAGTGTGGTAAAGGAGGAGGGGTGGCGTTCCCTGTCAACCCCTCGGAGGGCTTGGGGTGGCCTGGCCCTGCCAGCGTTGCCCTCTGCCACGGCAGAGGGCCCAGCTAGCTGTGCACCCTCCTGGGCTGCCCACTCAGCCCCCTGGGCAGACTTGTGTAGAGCAGTGCCTTCCGAGGGAGGCCCAGGGCCTGGGGCAGGAGAGCCTGGGCTGGGCAGCTTGGGTGGGTGAGGGCCTGAGGAGAAAGTTGGGCTTTCAGGGATGAGGAAGCAGGAGGCCCCGGGCAGTTCTCTAGTCCCTGGGCAGAAGCAGGCAGGGTTGCGAGAGGCTGGACTCCACACCTAGCCTTCCCTGACTCTGCCCAAGAGTCAGTGGCAGGTGCCCTGTGCTCTGCAGCTCTGTGCCAGACCTGTCACTCACAGCATCCCTTTGACATACTGTTGCAGATGGGACACTGAGGTCCAGTGCAGAGAAACTTGGTTAAAGTGGCAAGCTTTAAGAGGATGGCAAATCTCAGGTATTGATTTGTTTTATTTGGAAGCCACTAAAGCCCAGGTGCCCCAGTGTGGTCTCGGGCTGGACACTATCCCATAGTCGCAGGGCATGGAGGGGCACAGGTCCTTGTCAGCCATGGAGGGGCTTGGGCAAGGCTCACCCTCCATTCTCCCCTCACTCCCACCAGGAGGAGGAACTGGGAGATGAGGTGGGGTGCCCTGGTCACCATCTGCACTCTTTCCCTCTCCCAGGAAGCAGGAGCTCAGCCCAGGGCAGGGCAATGGCAGCAGATACCCTGATTCTCCTCTCAGCAGCCCAGACCTGCTTCCAGCAGACACCTGGAAGGGACCCCTTGCCCCCAGTGTTTGTGAGGCTTCTGCCAGGACCTCAGGTCACCTCAGGGTCTGTTTTCCTGCTTTGTCTTCATTTGGTCTGTCTGTCCTGTGTAGCCAAGCCTCTGCTGTTTTCCAGACACTGGAGTGATATAAAAGAAGGAGCCCTGTGCTCACCCTGAGGGCCTGTGACCTGCTGCTGTTAATAAAAAGATTTCAGGGGTCTTGGGGAAGGGCAAAATCGAGGGGCCCCGCCTCTGTCCAAGGCCTGCCCCGTCCAGTCTAGCCATAGAGAAAGACCCTTGCACTCTGGGCTCTCCTGCACCTTTCTGGCTGCCTCCCACTGAGGGCACCACATGGAAGCTGGCCCTGCCCTGTCCCCCACCTCCTGCTGGGCAGGGCCAGAGGTTCAGGGCCTTGTGCCCTGGGTCTGGAGGGGAGCCCCCAGATGGTGGTGGCAGCTCGGGCCACGAATCGCTGAGGTTTTCCTTTTCTGAGCAGTGCGTTTCCCTAAATTGTCTTTGACTGCGTGCATGGGTAATGAAAGTTTATGCCCTTGTTAGAAGGACAGGCGGCCAGTTCCAGTTAGAACTGGGGCTGTCTCCCTGCCAGGCCGGCAGCCCCCTCCCCAGCAGGAAAGAGCAGGAGGGCAGAGTGTATGTGTGTGTGTGCGCACACACACACACACACACACACGCACGCGCGCTTGCGCTCGCACACACTTGCATACCCCTCCCCAGTGAATAAGAAGCCTGTTAAGGGAAGGGAAGGGAGAGAGGATGGAAAAAAAGAAAAAAATTTCCATATTTGTGTAAGTTGCTTTAAAAGCATTTTATCATGTCATAAAAAAGGGAAAGTACTCTCAGAAATTGATCCTCTCCGCCAGCCCATTGGACAGAAGGACGTTGGGATGTTAATGGCCATCCTGCTCCAGGGTGGCTTATTAAAAAATTTATACATAAATGCTTAAAATTGCATAAATTATTTAAAAAAAACCAACAAAGTAAGCAATTTGAATTCCCTCTTTTCCTCCCCTTTACTCCGTCCCCCCTTTTCCAGCCTCTCCTCAGGGCTCTCCTGGTCCCTGGGCTCTGGTCCCCTCCTTGGGGCAGTCCCCCTCTTTTCTCCACTTCCCGCTGCGCCCCTGACGCCCGCCGTCTGCCCTGCCCTCCTCCGGGGTTTCCCTGCCTCACCCACAAATTAATGAAACAGCCAGCCCACCACCAAACGCTCACACGCACATGCGCTAATAAAAACACCACTAATAATGCCCCAAATCGCAAAATTAAATATTAAGGCCAAAGGAGGCGGACGTGGAGCGGAGCTGCCGCCACCGTTGCCGAAGTTGGAGCTGATGAGTGTGTCTCTCGCAGGCGTGGAATGTCACCCACACATCCTGGAGACTGGAGTGGGGAGTTTTATGATGGTTTTTCATTGATTTGTTTCCCCAGCGCAGCTGCCGACCTCTATTGAGGGACAAACATAATCAGCACTGACGCAAATTAGATGGTTATTCGTTTTGAAAATTGACAGAAAAACAATAAAAAAGATGAAATGCTCCCAAATCAATAGATATAATGAAATTCAAATAATCCGAGAGATGAGGTCTCCATGGCAACTGATAATGTGGAAAAGAAAACAATTTAATAAAGGACAGACACACTTTGAAAACAGATTGGGCCCGGGGAGGGGGGCGGGCTGGCGGGCGGAGGGCTGGAGCGCGGGCTGGCGAGTGAAGGATCACTGTCCGTCCCAAGGACACCCGCCATAATTAAGCGAGGCTTTCGGCCCCAGAAAGTGCAGATTCAGGTTTTAATACACAAAATTATTTCAGGAGCAGTGAATCGGAAAGTCGTTTGTAATGACCTTCCTGAGAGGCCCGGGCGCGGGGCATGTTGGAGGCTGGGCGGCCGGGCCGGCTGAGTTATGGCATATTTGTGTTTTTATAGTGCGGAGGGGAGGGGGTGGGGGGGGAGGGGGGGAGAAGGTTAAACAGTATTTACAGCTCAGTTGTTTTCAGAGAGGAAAGAGAAATAGAGTTCATGGGGAGATGCAGTGGGCAGGCAGGGGGGTGAGCCAGGGAGGCCTCTGGGCAGCAGGGAGGGGAGGTAGACCTGAGCAGGTCTCCCACCTCAGGCTGCCTCACCTATGTCCGCCTCAGGTCCAGAGGAGATGCCAGACCCGCTTCCCCTGCTCCAGTGCCTGGTGAGGCTCAGGCAGTGCGGCCTTCTAGGTCTGGGGCCTCTCTGACGGGGTGGGAGCCGAAGTCCAAGCCGTGTGGACACCCAGCTGCACCTATCAGTAAAAAGGTGGGGCATTTCCACAGCTGCCACGAAAAGTGGCTCTGCCCTTCGTCCTCGCCCGCACCCTCCATTTCTCTATGTGGCAGTCGGTCATCCATCCAGATGGTGCTGCCCTTCAGGGTGCAATAGTTGAGGGCCGGACGAGCATGTAAGGACGGCATGCCCCACTGCAGTGGCCTGCAGCTCCCTGCCTTCTCTTCTTTGGTTCCCCCTTCATGCCAAGTGCCCACCTTGGACATGCAGAAGTGGGGTTCCGTGGAGCTGGTGGAGGCAGAGGCCACAGAGGGAGCAGGGGATCAAGCATCCCTGCCCCAGCCCTGCAGAGCCCCTAGCCTGCAGCAGACAGCTCAGGCACTGGTGGCCAGGCCATGGGAGCCTTGAGACTCCCCCTCAGGCTCCGTGTCCCCTCCACCCCCCGCTGTGGGAGTGCAATTGTGTTTCATCACTGTGACCACACAGAGAATTTCTAGTTTGTGGGCTGCTCTAGATGGGCACGTGTGAACACGATTGTACAGAGATCCCTGAGTGTGTGTGCACACAGGCGTGCACACCGTCTGTGTGCTTTTGCTCGGTGTGTGTATGTTTTAAATCTCCCCTGGGTGGTAACTCTCTTTTTTCTCCTCTTCCTGTTTGGCTGTGACCTGGGGGAGATTGATAGCCAGCCTGTGTGGTGGATGCTAACAGTTCCCCTGATTTATAGAGTTACTTACGCTAAGTGAGGCCACTTAGACGCGTCTGGATAGTAAACCTTTTAACTGGACTAAAAAATCATAATAAATAAATAAACAAAGCGGGGTAAGCTAGGGCCCAGTGGCCAAGCCCCGCCCACTCCCCAGCTTAGAGCCCTTGAGGACCAGGGACCTGCCTGAGATCCCAAGGGGAGCAGTGGCCATTCCTCCCTTCAGAAAAAACTCAGAGGCCCTTCTGTTCTGAGCTGGAGATGGGACCAGGAAGGACCCCCTCTCCCAGGGGGCCTCTCAGGGACAGGTCTTGGTAGGAAATGAGGGAAGGGAACTGCTCGGCTGGAGATGGGCTCTGAGGGGGAACGCATGGGCCTAGCAACCTTCCCTTCTGCTCTTGTGGCACCAGTGCTCCATGTCAGGGAGATGGTCTGGTAGTGACTTTTGAATATTGTTGCCTTGTCTGAACTGCATAGTCCCTGATGTAGGAACCAGGGTGACGTAGGAACCAGGGTGACGCAGGACCCAGGACTGCCTGTCTTGCTCACATCCTAGCCTCAGAATTCAGCCCGAGCCTGGATGGAAGTAGGTGCCCCATGCGTGCCACTGAATGGGGGCTTGTGGTCTGTGAGGTTCCAGTGCTCAAGTGCAGCAGGGTGGGAGCTCCCCTAGGCACCCTGAGACTCCAGGATGGCCACTTAGAAGACCTGGAAGGCACCTTGGAAATCTGAACTTGGTGGGAGCTGGCTCCAGCACTGACGGGATAATTGCCAACCTCATTACCTCTGCTGCCTCACCTGGAAATGGGGACAGGACAGCTGGCCTGCAGGGATGCTGGGGGATCACCCAGGTGACTAAGTGCCCAGCATACTTTCTGGCACAGACAAGGTGCTCAGGAGGCACCAGGTGCCATGTACCTGTAGATGCCATGGGCTAGCTCAGCCACCGGTGTCCGGACAGTGTCTGTGGCCCCCAGAGCTGCCTGGCAGTAGGCAGGCAGAGCCAGGTGCACCCCCACCCCAGGAGACTGGCTCCTGGCCCCTGCCTCCCTTCCTCCTGATATACAGCGGGCATTAGGCCGCCCAAAGGGGATCCTGCATCCTTAGGAAGAAATATGTCCTCATTTTTCTTAAACACCGTTTCCACTGAGTGAAATGTTTAGAAGGGACGCGCAGGGAGAACTTTATTTCCTACCAGGGAGTTCAGAGCCACCAAGCAGAGCCCATAAAGCACCCGGAGCCTGGTAGCTGACAGGCAGCCCAGCCCTGAAACACATTACTCACGGTGGGGAGGGGCTGCCAGGCCTGCCCAGACCCCTGGGACTGCCCCTGCCCTGGCAAGACAAGCAACTTCAAGACCCAGGGCCATGGGCAGTGGGCACCACGCCTCTTCTTCCCTTGAGCCCAGACTGCCTGCAGGAGAGGGCCTGGCCTGACCAGGTGCCGAAGGAGTAGTTCTTCCAGCTTCCCACAGCCCTTTACCTCCCAGGTCAGGAAGACGTGGGGACAAGGGGCCCAGATGCAGCTACAGGCACCCCCCTTTCTCACCCAGAACTGGCAGGAGCCCTGGCCTTCCCTAGCCTGTGCAGGGAGTGATGAGATTCATGCCATAACGGGCCCCTTCTCCCAAGGCCCTCCCTTCATTCGATTTCTGAAGCTGGCTGATTTGAATATTTATAAATATCAGTAAATTATTTATTGTAGCAATCTGCTGCACCATTTTACCCATCGCAGTTAACACTTTAGGGGGCTCTGTGTTATGGGAACAGGAAGTGGGGGTATGGAGGAGATGGGGCGAGGGAGGGAAGGAGCCCCTGCAGGGAGGCTTGGGGCTTCCCAGAGCTTGCCTCGGAGCCTTCATGGGGATGAGGCTGAGCCTCAGCTCCAGGTATCTAAAGCCAGGATTAGCTTCCTCCTCTGTCAAATGGGTTGGCACAGGGCTCAACTGGATCATTTTTGAAGCTTTGGTGAGATTGTGATGGACAGTTAGTTTTCGCTTCTCTCTCCTGCACCTTAGTTGGGTCTGCTCAGCTCAGAGACTGATGGGTAGTGCTTGTTGAGTTTGGAGGCCTGTAGGAAAGCCAAGGGGACCGTTTGCTGGAGCAAGGGAGAGGGCTGCAAGGATGGCCCCAGGCCTCCTGCCTCTCCTTTCCCTCTTCCCTCTTCTGGGCCAGGTGAGAATTCCTTATCTTGGAATCTTGGGCCAGACATGGCACCACATCTGCCTGTCGTTCTCCTCCTGGGCTCAGCTGTCTTTTCCCAGGTCCTTCCTTGCCAGGCCCTGTGCTTTGCCCAAGGAGGCACCTTCTCACCTTGTAGCCCGGCAGCCCTTCCATGAGAGATAGCTTGCCGGGGCCGGTAGCTCCCAGGGGTAGAGCCAGGCTACATGCTCCTGACTCTGACCCAGGGGCCAGACTGTAACCTGAGCTGTGCCTTCTGGGGTTCAGAGCCACTGGGGCCAGGAGCAGAGTAGGTGCTTTGCTGGGCCCACCTCAGCTGCCCCTCCTGCCTCTGTCCCCCCAGTCTGCTGGTCCCTGGGGGAGCAGAACAGGAGTCCCCTTGCCTTCCCACCCTCCTGCCCAAGCCTGCCTCCTGGGCAGTATTGTTCCCAGAGGAAGTGTCCAGTGTAAATAGAGCAGCGGGCAGGCTGGTGGCGGGAAGGAGATGAAAGGGGCAGTGACAGGGCCGGGGACTGATGGCTTCCTTCCATTGAGGCCTGGCCACGCCGTTTATATTTTAGGGAAGAAAGTCAGAGGAATGTTTACATGGACAGGAGTCTGGGGTCAGACCATGGGGGTGGGTAGTCTGGAGGTCCCAGGGCCTTTGATGGAGGGGCCAGCAGCAAGGCCCCACGGGGTGGGCCGGAAGGCACAGGGCAGCAGCTCAGCCCTCAGTTCATACATGCCCTCCTCCTGCCATCCCAGCCTTGCACACATTGGCACTGACAACCATCAGCCCTGCCTCTGCCTCTTGCCCATGTTCCAGGCCCAGGTGCCGTCTCCACCTCCACCCTTGGGACCAAAGTAGAGTCAGAGGGAGGGCAACATCTGGAATGCAGGTGGGTTGGGTCAGAACAGCAGCTGGAGGGCAGGTGTAGAGGGAGTCAGCAGGAGCAAAGGGGCCTGGGGGCTGGAGGTGGGCCTGGTGCACAGCTGCATCACAGCTGGTGGGGGCCCAGGCTGGGACTGAAGGGGCACATGGCTGAGATGGGGAGAAGGTGGGCTGGGTTGGGTGAGCCGAAGTTCAGGGAGGCTCCAGGATGGGTGGGAGCCCTGGGGGGGGGTGTCACTAGCAGCAAGTGCAGCCTTGGGAGCTTCTGCTTCCCTCTTCCTTGGGATAAATATTTATAGATTCATTTGCCGTCTGCCATACACACTTGGCTGCTTACCTCTTGGTAAAAATAGAGCAGGCTCCTCATTCCCGCTCTTTTCTTCCCCGTCCAGGGCAAGGGACAAGGAGGACCAGGTGAGGCTGCTCCCCTTGAGGCTGTTGGAGGAAATGTGGTGTCACAGACCCTGCTGGCCTGCCCAGCAGTTGAACTGGGTGGGGTTGTGATTAGGGGCCCTGAAGCTGAACTTTGAGAGGAACCTCGTGTGCATACATAGGGATTTGGGTGCAAGCAGCACAGACTTGGAGCTGTGGACAAACATGAGTTTGTGGGCATCTGGCTTGGCCAGGGTCCAAGGCCCTGGAGCCAGAGCCACAGGACTGGGAACTGGCTGAGCAGACCTTTCTCTGACAGTCCCCAAGCAAGGCCACACATTCAGCAGCTGGTGATAAGGCAGGATCTGCAGCCACAGGGCATGTATATATCAAGGGACTATTATTTGTGCATAGAAATCAGGTCGACCTGTGGGATGAGGCCCTTGGGCAGACACAGGTGTGGCTTCTTTGTGGGCTCTCCAGGATGTGGATTTCATGGTGGGCTTTTGTTTTGTTTTGGTACCAGGGATTAAACCCAGGAGCGCTTAACCACTGAGCCACATCCCTAGCTCCTTTTTATATTTTATTTAGAGATAGGGTCTCACTGAGTTGCTTGGGACCTTGCTAAAGTTGCTGGTTTTGAACTTGCCATCCTCTTGCCTCAGCCTCCCAAGCTGCCGGGATTTCAGGCATGCACCACCACTCCTGGCTCATGGTGTTTGATCCATGGAGCTAAGGCACAAAGCCCTCCTGCCCCCCAGCCTTCAGACCTATATGAGACATGCCCATTTCCTTGGCTAAGGCCTGGGGGAGCACTCTTTGACAGGGACCTCCCTATGCACAAATCGAGTATGAACTGAGTCTGTCACATGGCCATTGCCTTGTCCCCTGATCCACCATGGGGTGTGGCACATGGCAGTACACTAGATGGATGGACGGCTAGACAGATGTGTGGCGTCATTCGTGCATATGTCCAGCCTTGTAGGCCTTCCTGGCCACCTGCCCTCAGGACCTTCTGTCCCCTGACAAGGTTTGGTTTCTAGCTGCCTATGTGCTGTCACATCAGGAATCAGAAATTAAGCCCTTTAACTGCAGTTTCTGGGCTTTCCATGAGGAACCTAAGCAATCCAAGCCTGTCCCAGCTGGGGCTCCTAGGCTAGACCTTCCCAGGATATAGGAGTGGGCCACAGGAATTGGAGGAGGAGGAGTGTGGTGCTGGGATAAGAGACTGTAGGAGGGGCTGCGAGGATCTCTGTGGAACAGCAATAGGAAATGGCCAGAGGCCCAGTGAGGCTGGAAAGAAGGGCCAGGAAGACCCTCACAGGGCAGGTGACTGAGAAAAAAACAGAGGCTTTTTTTTTGGTGGGGGTGGGGGTGGGGGGCGGTGGTCCTGAGTAGCTGGGAGCCAAGGAGAAGAGCTCTGCTGTCCTGAGAGCAGACACTGGAATTGGTGAGGCCTATGGACTGGGCCTGGCAGAGGTGCTGCCAGGGGATAAGATGCTCAGGTGGGGACAGTGCCATCCAGGTGCTTACTGGGACAGCAGGGTAAAAGGTTGACACAGGCTAGAAGCTGGTTGTCAGCTGACTCCTCCCCAGGGACCTGTGGTGAGGTAGAGCCAGGCCACCAGCAGTGCAGTGCTTCCTTTGCCAGCTACCCTCACCACCAGCCCCTCATCTGCCTGTGCTCGGGGTTCTGAATGACACAAGTCATACCACCTCTCAGGAGCTATTTAGGGCCAAACAAGCCTAGAAAATGCTTCCAGGTACCAGGTGCTAGGAAGAAGACTTGTATTTGAAGAGCCTTTCTTTCATCCATTTTGAACCACCTACTCCATGCCAGGCACTGTGCAGGCTCTGGGGATGGAGTGACTGGCTAGCCCAGCCCTTGAGCTCCCAGTCCAGAGGGGAGATGAGCAATGCTAGGCCACTTCAGGACAGCATGATGGATCTGTGATCACCTGGGGAGACTGACTTGGGGGTACAGGGTCGTTCAGGGGTAGCTGTGCTTGGCATGTGGCCCCTCACCTCTGTGTCCCTCCATCCCTACAGCTGAAGGCACCCGGTGCACTGACCCACCTGCAGGCAAACCGGCCATGGCGGCCAAGCGCAAAGGCGGCCTCAAGCTCAACGCCATCTGTGCCAAGCTGAGTCGCCAAGTGGTGGTGGAGAAGGGAGCAGAGGCTGGCTCCCAGGCGGAGGACAGCCCGCTGAGGCCCCGGGACAAAGAGCGCAGTGGCCCTGAGTCTGGGGTGGCTCGGGCCCCATGCAGTGAAGAAGACAAGAGGCGGGCAGTGATTGAGAAGTGGGTCAATGGGGAGTACAGCGAGGAGCCGGCACCTGCACCCGTGCTGGGGCGGATCACCCGCGAGGGCCTGGAGCTGCCTCCCGAGGGTGTCTACATGGTCCAGCCTCAGGGCTGCAGCGATGAGGAAGACCACGCGGAAGAGCCCTCCAAGGATGGCAGTGTCCCAGAGAAGGACTCAGATGGGGCAGCCTCAAAGGGCGACAGTAGCCCCGGCATCAAGCAAGCTTCAGGTGGGTGTCTGGCCTTTAAGAGGCAGGTGGAGGCTGGGAAAGGGTGCTACACTGTGGGGTGACCCAGGAAGGAAGGTCCACGTGTCCAGGTGCCCACCTGCCTCCTCTTCATTCCTGCCCCAAGCACCAGCATCATGTCCAGTGAGAACTCTGGGGGTGGGGGCAGAGTAAAGGGACTGAGAAGGCAGCTTTCCAGGAGTGTGAGGGGGCAGGGGGGACTGCCCAGCACACAGTGGGTCCTTAAAAAACAACCGGTGGAGGGACAGATGGACGGATGGCCAGACATACAGAGGAATGGACAGATGGTGGGTGGGTGGGAATCAATAGGAATGAGCCTTCTGGGGGACCAGGGTCCCTGACCACCAGTGTGGGGAGCAGTGGTTGTGGTGGGGCAGCAACATGAACCCCGTGAGCTGCCAGCTGCAAGCACTCTCGCTCCGAGAGACTTCTCTGAGGATCCTAGAAAAGGCTTTGCCCCCTGCCTGTGCCCCAGCATTCTCCTTCCCTACGTCACTGCCCCTGGCCCTCCTAGATGGGAACTCAGGCCCGTGAGGCTGGCCAGGCCCAGCCAGAAGATCCCCTTACACCCAGCCACCCCAACATGGTCCTCTCGCTGACCTCTTCCCATGAGATGGCCAAGGCCTGGCTTCTCTAGTGTCCACATGTCCTTGGGACTTAGAGCAGTCTCCAGCTCTTTCTGCTCAGGAGAGGACCAGCCTGGGGTTTACGGCAGGAGAGGGGCCCCCCGCTAGAACTAGGTCTGGCCTTTACTCTCACCCCAGCCTCCTCCCAGGTTGGTGCCTGGAGCTGCACGCCTCCCCTGCCTCTCCCCTGTCCCTGTCCCCCCTGCGGCGAGGGGCGCATCTCCTCCCTGTGCGGGGAGCCCTGCACAGCCACATAATTATGCATATAAGATATAAACAGAGCTGTTTAATTATCCTTCGCCACATCAGTGACAGAGTAATTAACAAACATTGCAAGATCAATGAGGAAGAGTGTGACCTTCAGTTTCCTCTGATAGGAAAGCCCTTGCCGTTGCCAGACACAAGGTGATTGTGCTAGGCCTGAGGAGAGAAAAGGGACAGCAGCCCTTGCTGCTGTCCCTCTGACACTGTCTACACTCGGCTCTGCCCACAGTGGAGGGGCTAGAGGAGGCCTCACCTCCTGAATCCTCCCTTCCTGGGAGAGGAGCTGGAAAGGCAGGAGGCAGAGATCGAACTGCCCTGCGCCTCGTGGCCTGAGCTCTGCTTCCCTCAGCCCCAGGTGGCTAGGGAGCCAGTGGAGCCCCAGCTACCTTCCGTGGCCTTGGCTCCCCAGGCCAACCTCTCTGGGCCTGGGGGTCAGGAATGCAGGGCTCTGGAACTGCCTCTAGGACCCTGCCTGGCCCCCTCCCTGCTCCAAGTTGCCTGCCCTTCAGAGCCTTCGGTTTCCCTGCCATATATAGTGAGGGTTCAGCTGCCTCCAGCTATTTTTAGCCCCTTTCCCTGGTCCCTGAGCCACTGTATCCAGCAGCCAGAGCCCACTCCTCCCAGGCCAGGCCCCCATCCTCTGTGGCTGGTGTTCCAGACTGTGGCTGACCCACCTGCCCTGCCAGGGGAACAGCTGTCTGAGGGTTCCTTGAGTCACTCTGCCCAGCCTGGGTGCCAGGGAGCTGCCTGTGACCCTCTCCTCCTTAGCTAGTGGGCTCCCAGTCCTCCCCAGAAGCTGAGAACCCCTCCTTCCTCATTCTGCTGGGTTTTCTCTCCTGCCAGGCCCTGCCTGCTCTGCTCCTTTGGACTCCCTCTGCCCCTTCCATTTGTGCTCAGAGCACCTCAGGCCTGGCAGGTTTGGGTGCGGTTGGGAGGAATCCCCGCTGGCATGCCTTCCTTAAGCTGTACTGTCAGGACCCACAGTCTGGGTCCTGCTACTATGAGTGTGCCCAGGTGGGCAGGCTCAAGCTGAGTAGAGAACACTGTGTCCCCTGGACTGTGTGTCTCACTTGTCAGTATGTGCCCAACCCTGATGGAGGGCGCAACCTGCCGTAAGTGGAAGAATGAGCACCCTCTCACACGTTGGAGACCGCCTGTCTGCCAGGCCGAAAGGCTGTGTGTAGAAGGCACATTAGAAAGGGCCACGTTGGCCTAAGACTTGTCCTGGGGAGCTGGCTGTATCTGCAGAGTTGGGAAAAGCAGCTACGAACGTGAGCTTGTGAGTCCATGTGTGTGAGCACATGTGTGAGTGTGGTGTGTGCATGTGTGTGAGCGTGCATGTGGTGTGAACATGGGGGAGGGGGAGTGTACATGTCACTGTGGGGAGGTCCCTCCAGGGTTCAGTGTGCCTTAGGTGCAGACAGTGGGGAGGATGGATGTGCCCAGCCCAGGCCTGCTACCCTGGGCCTACAGTGCTGGCTGCTCCCACCTGCCCTGGTCCTTGCTCTCCCAGGTGACCCACCTTAGTGTGCTCCGTGTGGTAAATCTTGGCTGGAGGAGGGGCCCTACGTGAGTTTGTGTGGGCACGTTGGCACAGTCCCTGCCCTGCTCAGTTCTGTGGTTGGGGGGAGGCTGGGAAGCCAGGTCATGAGGCATCATGGGGCAAGGCCCTCATCAGCCAACGAGATCCATTTGTGGGGCTCAGGGCAGTTCACCATGCCAGGTTCACCCCAACCCCACCCAGAGCATCTCTCTCAGCTTCTGGGATCTCTCCTGACTGTCCAGTCACCACCCACATCCCTACCTGTCCCTGTGCCTGTAACTACTGCCCCCACCTCCGGAGGCAGGTTGGGATTTGGCCTTCCTTCCAGTAAGATGACTTCTCTTTCATATTAGGCCAAGGCGAGAGAGCGGAGACATTTATGAAACTTTGTTTAATGTACTGAAAAGCCATCGGCCAGAACATTTAGGAAATTGATTTTCCTGGCATTGATGAACTCGTTTTATTTTACCCCAGTATTAATTACTTTTTTTTAAAACAAATTAATTTAAGAGTCGTAAAACCTAACAAGTGGGCCGAATGTCCATAGATCATGTCCTGCTCTGCCCCTCCCCACACAGGCCCCTCTCTGTGGTGGGGGCTCGCAGTGGGGGGCCTCTTGGCCCTTCCCCACCCCCGATTCCTCCCAGAGGTGACCACCCCCTCCTCCTTGTAGGAGAGGCCTCCTCGCTAAGGGACTATGCGGCCTCCACCATGACGGAGTTCCTGGGCATGTTTGGCTATGATGACCAGAACACGAGGGATGAACTGGCCAGGAAGATTAGCTTTGAGAAGCTGCATGCGGGCTCCCCCGCTGAGGCGACCCCCTCTTCCATGTTACCCACCTCTGAGGAAAGCCTCAGCAAGCGGGCGCGCTTCTCCAAGTATGAGGAGTACATCCGCAAGCTCAAGGCCGGCGAGCAGCTCTCCTGGCCAGCCCATGGCACCAAGGCTGAGGAGCGGGCAGGCAAGGAGATGGTGGGCCCTCTGCCCGGCCTGCGGCTGCCCAGCAACACCACCCACCTGGAGACCAAGGCCACCATCTTGCCCCTGCCATCACACAGCAGTGTCCAAATGCAGAACCTGGTGGCCCGGGCCTCCAAGTATGATTTTTTCATTCAAAAACTGAAGACCAGTGAGAACCTGCGCCCTCAGAATGGGAGTGCCTACAAGAAGCCGTCCAAGTATGACCTGGAGAACGTCAAGTACCTGCACCTCTTCAAACCCGGGGAGGGCAGCCCCGACATGGGCGGGGCCATCGCCTTCAAGACAGGCAAGGTGGGGCGCCCCTCCAAGTATGACGTCCGGGGCATCCAGAAGCCAGGCCCCGCCAAGGTTCCGCCCACCCCCAGCCTGGCTCCTGCACCCCTCGCCAGTGTGCCCACTGCTCCCAGTGCCCCCGGGCCGGGGCCCGAGCCACCTGCCTCCCTGTCCTTCAATACTCCCGAGTACCTGAAGTCTACCTTCTCCAAAACAGACTCCATCACCACGGGGACCGTCTCCACTGTCAAGTAAGGCACTCCCCATCCCACTGCACCCCAAGCCCTGAGGCAGGACACCCATTTGTACGCCCAGACCCGGGCTCAGTCGACTCTCATGCTCATGCTCACACACGCAGCGTGCTCACTCACTGCGTGCTCACTCCGGGGGCCCTTCCAGCTCGTGCACGGTTCCTGGCCCTGCACCTCCACCCCTTGCTGCAGAGCCTCACATGCTCACACAGCAGGCGCTGGTGTGCACTGCGTACCTGCTGACGTGAGTGCCAGCGAGTGCCATAACCCCTGGTTGCCACCACTGGCTTCCTTTGCCTGCTGCCACTAGAGCTGTGGTCGGCTGAGAAAGCCCCATCTGGGGGTGAGGCTGCTGGGGTTTCTGCAGTGGCCCTGGTGCCTGGGTTCAGAGCCTGGGTCTTGGAGGAGGCAGAAAGAAGAAGGCCTTTTCAGCCTTAATTCAGGGACAGGGCACTGGCCCTGCCAGTAATATGGTGGGGGCCTGAGGCAGAACAAGACCCATCCCAAAGCCCTTATCTGCACTCCACCCTGGTGGCTGTGAACCCAGGCAGATGCAGGCAGTGCCCCCTGACTTGAGGCTGATGTGCTGCCCTTCCTTCCCCTTTTCCTCCCTGGGATTCCTGATGCTTCTCAGCCCTCACCTTTTGATTCTCCCTCTGTGCCGGGGGTCAGGCCCTGGCTCCAGGGACCTTCCACCCAGACAGACTCTAGGCCTAGCTGGGCCTGAGGTGCAGACCTCCGGCCCTGCCTGCCTGGGGTGGCCCAGCCCTCCTTAGCTGGGCTAATTGAACCTCTGCCAGGCTTCTGCCAAGGGACTTTCTTAGTCCTACCCGTGTGCCTCGGAACTCTCAGCCAAGGCAAGAAAGGCGAGAGCCAGGGCAGGGAGCTCCCCACCAGCTCTTGGGCCTGCGGCTGATCGGCTGTGTCCCGTGTGTCTCACCAGGAACGGATTGCCCACAGATAAACCAGCTGTCACCGAAGATGTAAACATTTACCAGAAATATATTGCCAGGTAGGCCCCTGGGGAGGAGACTATGTGGAGAGAAGGTGGGGGGCCAGGAATGCCCAGGGACTGTGGGACCATCCCTGCTCTCCTTTACCACTAGGGCCAAGACTGTCTCCTCCCAGCCTCCACCTGCTTCTTTCCCTAAACTCCCCATGGAAGCTGTCCCAGGAGCCCAGCTCAGACCTGCCTCTTTGCTGTGGTCCAGGCCACATGATCCTTAAGCAGCTTCTACCTCCAGGGCCAGGGTGTGAGAAGGAGCCCACAGCAAGGCTCAGCCATAGATGAGTTCAGGGTCCCCCTCCACAGCTGGCCTCCGTCAGGCCTTCACTGTGGACCCCAGGTGGAATGCAGACCACCATAATTGTCAGTTTCGGGCAGGGGTGTGGCTCCCTGGGCTGCCCAGGTAAGGCCTCACACCACCTGACTCCAGATCCATCCCCTCCATCCCAAAGGCAGCGGGATTGGCAGCAAATTCCCCTCCATCAGGCCCTCACAGTTGCTGCCTGGTGAGGTGGCACATGGTGGGGGCTGTGCCCTGGTGGCATCGTTCTGGGCTCTTCCAGGTCCCTCCCATCCTCTCTGCCTCTCCTGTCCCAGTGTCTTTCCCCCTTTGCTCTCTTTGGTCTTCTCTTTATTACTGTTGCTATCATTATTATTAGTGCCTCAGCAGATGGCCCTGTTGGCAACTTCAGCTTAAATATTTATTTGCAAGTGGTCCCCCCATACATGGCATGGGTTTCTCTCCCCTCCTGCAATCACGTCATCCACAGAGGGGCACAGGCAGGCCGAGGAAACATCTTCCCTGCCGCTGTCATGGTTTGCTCTCCCAGGGCTGGCCCTCACCAAGGCTGTAAGAGCCACACCCGGCAGTGTCAGGTCTGGAGAGCGACTGGGGTTTCCTGGAGGCAGGCAGCATGCAGGCAGCACGGGGCTCCTAGCTGTGCACTTGGCTGGAGAGCGAGCTCCCTGCCACAGGAAGCCAAACAGATGCTGTGCTTTAAAAATTCATAACTCTGGACTATTTCAAGTGTCAGGAAAAGCCCAGAACAGAGAGAGCCCTTTAACACCTCTCAGCAACAGAGCCCCAGTTCACCAGCCAGGGCCTCCTCCCTGGACAGAGCTGGGCATAGTGTCGGTCAGGCAGCTAACTGTAGGAAAGGCAGTTGTGGGGACTTCAGGTCTCCTCCTCACCTCCCTGGTCTGTGTCTACTCTGGCTGTGGCTTGTGGCCTGCCCTAGCTTCTTCCTCCCCACCTGGGTGCCAGGCCTCTACCTCACCTGGCACTCACTACCTGGAAGATGCAGCTTGAGGAATCTGGGATTCCTGACAGGCCTAGCCACTGGCCCTGGCATTCCCAAACCTCTTCCACTTCACCACTGTCCCCCATATCCCCAACCAGGCCCACAGAAACCCAGTAGCACATCTCTAGAACCTGGGCAGAGATGGCTGCTCAGGTTTTAGGCCCTGGAGGAGTCCTCATGGGGCCTGGCACCCAGAAAGGGGCCTGACCCGACCCCTCTTCTCTTCAGGTTTTCAGGCAGTCAGCACTGTGGCCACATCCACTGTGCCTACCAGTACCGAGAGCACTACCACTGCCTGGACCCGGAGTGCAACTACCAGGTACGAGATGCACCACTGCACAGCACAGCGGCTCTGGCTAGAAGTGAGGCAGCAGGTGCTTAGTACTCCATGGGTCACCTGAACTTAACTAGGGTGGGCAGAGAGTACGGACCCACTGCCAGCCTGTGCCACTAGTAGGTTCTGCAGCCATTGGCATCCTGGTGGTGATGATGCCCATGCAGCTTCGCTGGGAATCCAGTGTGGACCAAGGCCCATTCCAGGCGGCCTGTGTACCATAGCTAGCTAACTCTTCACGGGGCCTTCTAAGGCCGGCATCACTGCCCCACTTCAAAATGGAAATTGAGGTTCAGATAGAATGCCATTATGTAAAGGCCACGACCTGCAAATGCAGAACCATCAAAGAGGTGGCATTGACAGTGTGCATAGGCTGCTCCTTCGGTCTCACCTGGCTTTGCTCACAGGTGCATTGGGCAGAATGTACTGTCACCTGTCAGAGCCCTTGCCCTCAGGGATCACCCTGTTCATCCTCTGCTTGGGCTGTGGCTGTTGGGAGGCTGGGGAGAGGCCAGGGGAGGGTCTATGGTTTCTGGCTTGTTGGAATCCCTGCTGCTGAGGGAATTGGCTGGGCAGTCTGTGCTGTCCTGACCACAGGCGGGGTTAGGTTTACGAGGTGACCTGAGGGCCCTGAGGCCGGCCCCCTGGTCCAGGCTTTCTTGGCACACGGGTGGGGATGAGGGCTCCTGCCAGCTTGGTACTCTTCCTGGCAGAGGTTCACGAGTAAGCAGGACGTGATCCGGCACTACAACATGCACAAGAAGCGGGACAACTCCCTGCAGCACGGCTTCATGCGCTTCAGCCCCCTGGACGACTGCAGCGTCTACTATCACGGCTGCCACCTCAACGGGAAGAGCACCCACTACCACTGCATGCAGGTGCCCGCCTCCCCGTCCTCGCCCTGAAGCCCCCCACCACAGCAGCCATGGGCAGGGTCTCTGGGTGCAGGGTGGAGGTAGCTGGTGAGCCAAGAGTCACTGGGCATGCTGAGGGAGGCTCTGGGGGAGTAGGGAGCAGAGTCTGGTGGCCGAGGCGGGGCCTTCCCCGTGGCCATACTTGGTGTGGGGGAAATTCAGTGAGCTGTTTATACAGACCGACATTTTTCAGGCTTTAACACCAAGAGCGGCATTGCAAATGATTCCTGAGGAGGTTTTTGTTTAATTCTTTGTTTTAATGCCACACTGAGTCTGGGCTTTTTCAAGGTGTCAGGCCCAGGAGGAGCGACTTTGGGTTGCAAATAGCAGCCTCCTTGCCTCCCCCATATTTGTCAAGGGTTGTTATGGCCTCTGGGGAACAACCTGGGTGTGAGGAGGGGGGCCACCCTGGGCCTGAGACGGTGCAGGCACTGGCACAGGCCAGCCTTCGAGGGTGCTCAGAGGCCACTGGTTTTTACTCAATATGGCAACATTGTCTGCCTGGCCCAGTGCGGGGGGAGGGGCCGTGCCCAGAAATCATCCACTAAGCAAGTCCCTGAGCTAAGGTGACCTCCAGGACACAGCCCCTGTCAACTCTGGGGACTGCAGAGGTAGGGCCACAGATGGGGATATAAAACCCAGCGTCTGAAGATCGTGGCTCCTTCTTCTGGGCCCGAAGCCTCGTGGTCTGAAGACAGCCTGGCCCTCGGGCAGGTTCCAGGTGCTGCCTGCGGGGGTGGGGGTGGTTGGAGGCTTTAGGCCTCGGCCCAGGCACACCTGGGGAGTCTGAGGATAGAGGTGTCAGCTGTCCCGAGAGGAGACCTCGGCCCAGCTGTGCCAGGACTCAGATGGCTGCCCGCCGTCCTGGCTGCAGGTGGGCTGCAACAAGGTGTACACGAGCACGTCCGACGTGATGACCCACGAGAACTTCCACAAGAAGAACACCCAGCTCATCAACGATGGCTTCCAGCGCTTCCGAGCCACCGAGGACTGTGGCACGGCGGACTGCCAGTTCTACGGACAGAAGACCACGCACTTCCACTGCAGGTGAGCCAGCCGGCCACCGGCGCCCCAGGCTGGAGGAGGGGCAGGGGATAGCTTGCTTAAGGCCCTGGTTTGGTATCCAGACTGAGTTTTCTGTCACGGGGACTGCCCCCTGAGTGCCCCATGACAGACCCCCAATGTCCCATCCAGGCGTCCTGGCTGCACGTTCACCTTCAAGAACAAGTGTGACATCGAGAAGCACAAGAGCTATCACATCAAGGACGACGCCTACGCCAAGGACGGGTTCAAGAAGTTCTACAAGTACGAGGAGTGCAGGTACGAGGGCTGCGTGTACAGCAAGGCCACCAACCACTTCCACTGCATCCGCGCCGGCTGCGGCTTCACCTTCACCTCCACCAGCCAGATGACCTCGCACAAGCGCAAGCACGAGCGCCGCCATGTCCGCTCCTCGGGCGTGCTGGGGCTGCCACCCTCGCTGCTGGGCGCCAAGGACACGGAGCCCGAGGAGTCCAGCAACGACGACCTGGTGGACTTCTCTGCCCTGAGCAGCAAGAACTCCAGCCTGAGCGCCTCCCCCACCAGCCAACAGTCCTCTGCGTCCCTGGCCACTGCCGCTGCCACCACCGAGGGCACGCCCAGTGCCACCAAGCCTCCTAGCAGCAAGATCCAGGGGCTGATGCCCCAGGGCCTGCCAGGCTCCATCCCCCTGGCACTGGCCCTCTCCAACTCGGGCCTGCCCACCACCGCACCCTACTTCCCCCTTCTTCCTGGCCGTGGGAGCACCTCCCTGCCTGTGGGTGCCCCTGGCCTCCTGGGTGCCATGTCATCTGGGGCAGCAGCCTCAGCAACCCCCGACACACCTACCTTGGTGGCTTCGGGAGCTGGAGATTCGGCCCTGGTGACTGCCACCTCTGTCCCGGTGCCCCCTGCCTCCATCATGGAGAGAATCTCTGCGAGCAAGGGCCTCATCTCACCCATGATGGCCAGATTGGCCGCAGCTGCCCTCAAGCCCTCTGCCACCTTTGACCCAGGTGAGCAGGCCAGGCCCTGCCCAGGAAGCAAGCACCTTCTGGGTCCCAGAGGCTCCGTCCCGGCACTCCTGCTGCAGAGCAGAGTAGGGTGGTGCGGGGGAGCCATCTGTCTGATCTCCACCCTCCAGTCTTGCACCAAGCAGTGCCCCCTCTCTGCCTGGTCTCTGCCTCCCTCCTGTGTATTTCCCCCTCAGAGCCCCACCTGGGCCCCTGCCCAGGGAGTTCTCGCCTGTTTCTCCTGAGGCGGGAACCTCCCTCCTGGGCTCCTCTGCATTCTGTTGGCTCGCTGTGTTCTCACCTCCCACATCACAGATGAGTCCCTGAGGAGAGCTGTCCCTGGCCCCCTTCTCCTCTTGAGTCTCCTGCAGATGACCTGGAGGGGGACAGGTCCAACACAGTGGCAGGGTGACTGCACCTCATACCTGGACAGCCCTCTAGGCCGAGGGACACCTCTGCAGCTTTCCCCCAGCAGAACTTACGTGGGGAAAACCCACCCTACGCTCTTCAGCTTGGCAGCCACTAGCCAGGTGGCTGTGGAGTGCCCAGCTGGTCAGAGTGAAGAGGCACTGGGTTGCAGTGTGATTCATCTAAGCAGGCGCACTGGCCAGTGCTCCCTGATGGACAGTGTGGCCTGGGGCCAAGAGTGGCTTCTTCTGGTCTGGCACTGGCTTGCTTCAGGGTGGCCCCCTCCTTCCTCCTTTGCTTGCTTCCTTCTTTCTCCTGGTTTCCCTGGCTCCTCTCCCCTTGCTTCCCCATCTGGGAATTTGTCTTAGTTGAGCCCTTGAGAAGTGTTCGGCTCCATCCAGGAGGTGGCTCATTCATTCACTCAACAACCCTTGGTGCTTGCTGGGTGCCTGCCTAGGGCTACCACTGAGTGGGTGCTGGGGACACACAGGCAGGAGGAAGTGGAAGCCAGCCCCGTCCTGTGGTGCTGATGGAGCAGTGGGGTGGCCCGTCCCCATCACACAGCTGAAAGTGACAAAGTTGAGACGGTCCTCAGCACCTTGGCTGCCAGGTCCAGATACTCTGCTCCCATTTGAGACCATCTTGGAACCGGCCAGGACAGACAGAGGGTCCCTTCGTCCCAGCTTGGGGCTCTGCCCATACCTCCTTGAGAGTTGCAGCCCTGGAGGATAGGGAGCCAGGCCGGTTTTCCTGTGACTGGGGATAAATGACTTCAGGAGCTGCGGGGGTGTGGACTCCTGAGGGCTGAGAACCCTTTCAGGTCCCTGGTGGGGCACTCAGATCCCAGGGGGCAGTTTGGAGGCCCCACCTTCCACTCCCTGGCCACACCCCCAACCAAGAACTGAGCCCTCCAAGGCCACCCTGGGCTCAGTGGCCAAGCTGTCAAGTACTTTCTTTTTCCTACAAAAGTCTCCTTCCCCTCCCCCGCAAAAGAAAGGTCAGGCGCAGGGGAGGGAGCCATTTTCCTGTATTTTTAATAAAATGCCACTTGCAGTCTGAAGCAGTCCTGTCAGCTGTAGCGCCTTGGGGCAGATTAATATTTCAGTCACTTGGGGATTGTGGAGCTGGGCCCAGTGGACACCTTCCTGTCAGCTTCTTTTGCCCCTGATCTGCTCGGCTTCCTACGGCCTCTTCCCACCCAGCTCCCCCTCAGACCCATCCTGGCCAGGCCTTGAGCCCCTGCCCTGGACAGCTTGACGGGCGAGGTCACACAGTTTGCTGATTGGCCGTCAGCTCGGTAGCCCTGACACAGCAGATGCCCTCTCTGGGCATGCTCAGTGCAGGCAGGCTGTCTCCCCGGCAACAGCAGGCCAGGGACCAAGGAGGGGCTGCTCTGTCCAGATCTGCCACTTTCCCTCAGCATTAACAGAGTCTTTAATAAAAGCTTAAACGGCAGCCCCACAAATCGACTGTGACAGTTGGTGAGGAAAACGAAGGGCCCCTGCACCCGCCCCAGCCCCCTCCTCAGCCTCCTGCCCTTCTCCAGGAGGCCCTGAGCCAGGCTAACTTTGACATAATTTTGCAATAATTATCACTTGAAGAATTGCCACACAGGGGTAAGCGTCTCAAGCGATCGCGTCAGCAGGGAGAACCGCTGACCAGCAGTGAGGCCTCCCCAGACCCCTGGCCTACCAGGCTACTGCCCTCCTTTTGTGGGGAATAGGGTTTGTGCCCGTGTGAATCCTGGGCCCCTCTGACCCCATCTTCCCTCCCCTCTCCTGCAGGAAGCGGGCAGCAGGCCACCCCTGCCAGGTTCCCTCCAGCCCAGGTAAAGCTGGAGCCGGGTGAGAGCGCTGGCACCCCAGGCCCCCTTGAGGCCTCCCAAGACCGCAGTCTAGACCTGACTGTAAAGGAATCCAGGTGAGGTGCTGCTGGAGAGAGAAGCCCTTGATAAGCACCCTGGGCTGGACCCTGGGGTTCAGCTCGCCCTCCTGTCCAAGCCCACCTCCTGCCAGGCAGCCGCAGCAGGCAGGGCTGGGGGCGGGTAGGCTCTGGGTTGGTCCCACGGACGTCGGAGCTGAAAGCCCCTTGGTTTGTGTGTTCTAGTAATGAATCAAATGGCCACGCAGCCCCGGCAAATTCATCTCTTTTATCCTCGCTTATGAATAAGGTAAGAACCATCCATCACACGCCTCCTGCTCCCCCACCCCAAGAAATTAAAGCTGTGCTGGGGGGTGGGGGGATGTGTTTGTTTTTTAATGTTTTCCCTCTAATAAGATGAGTTTGTACCATTTAAATTTTGAGGCCATTTTTCATCGAATATAATTTCAGAGCCACTGCTTACAAATTAATTTAATGAACTGGCTGAAGAAATATATTCCAGCCTCTGACACCTTTTTTTTCCCTTCAGATGGAGGGCTCCAAAAGCTTTTCCGGAGCCCTCTAACTTCTCTCACCCTTAGTTATTAATGTTATTTATTTATTTTATATATTTTTTGTTTGTTTAAAAAGGGGTCAGGGAGGGGGGACTAAAGTGGGAGCAGCATCAATTTCCACTTTTCGGGTTGAGTAATGGTCTCGGACGCCTTCCGGAGAGGTCGCTCTGGAATATTTATTTTAAATAATGCAGGGTCTTTGTAAATTATACATCATCTCAAATATATTTTTCCCCTTCACATGATAAACTTGACTGCAGCAAGATTAATTTGGTTACTGTACACAGGGATGGGGCTGAAGAGGGAGCTGGCCCAGGCTGGACCTTGTGGGGTGGGTCCCAGCTGGGCACTTGGCAGGCAGGAGCCTGCTACCTCCTCTCCTCTCCTGCTTGCTCTCACTCCTCTGGCCACTGCCCACTGCACGCCTTCTTCCTTCCTGGGGAGCCTGTGGGCTGACCCCCCTCCCCAGCAGCGAGCCTGTCTGCTCTCACCCCATGAGTCTCCCTCCCTCCCCACACCTCCTTTGTGCGCCTTCTCTGGTTCTCAAGGAATTCATAGGGGTTCCCCCCATCCCTCCTCCTCCTGCACTTCCTTTGAAAAACCTTCTGGCAGGAAAATAACCAGGGAGCCACGAAGTCTGGGGAAGATGGGCCACAGTGTGCACCCTGAGTGGCGGCCTCAGCGGGAGCAGCGCTCCAGCAGCACAGGATTGCTTGGAGAGGCCCTGCGCCTTCAGGCCAGGCCCCCAGCTGTCCAGGCAGGGCCTTTCTCTAGCTGCAGCCCAGGGGGGCCACAGATTCCCTCCTCCCTGCCCGGAGTGCTCTGGTGGTCACAGAGCAGCGTGTCTGTCCTGAGGCTCCCAGAGCCGAGCTTGGCCTCTGTCTTCACAGATGTCTCAGGGCAACCCCAGCCTCGGTAGCCTGCTAAGCATCAAGACAGAAGCAGAGGGGAGCCCCGCCGCGGAGTCCTCGCCCTTCCTGGGCAAGGCTGCAAAGGCTGTGGTTCAGGAGAAGCTCTCAGAGCCCTGGAGAGGGTACCTACGCAGGTGAGGAGCTGCCCGAGAGCAGGGAGGGAGGGAGGGCTGGCGGTGGCCCCAGCAGCAGCCCCTCTCTAACTGGAGCCTCCTCCCTGCTGGCTCATGTGGCTAGGTTTGGTACCAAGGACTTCTGCGACGCCCAGTGTGACTTCCTCCACAAGGCACACTTCCATTGCGTGGTGGAGGAGTGTGGTGCACTCTTCAGCACCCTGGACGGGGCCATCAAGCATGCAAAGTGAGTGGGGACCTGGGGGCCCTGTCATCTCTCGCTCAGGGCTCTGTGGGGCTGGATACCACACAGCCCGTTGCAATTCCCACCAGACCACAGAGCGGCTGGCTCCTCAGGAGGGAAGTGCCCAAAGGAGGATGGGCTTCCGGTCTTCCTTCCACACACTTAGCCCCCAGCCAGCTGTGTCCAGAGAGCCCTGCCTGGGCCCCACCGGATACCCTAGCGCCAGCTGCTCCCAAGCCAGGACCCGTGGAGCTGGCAGCATGCCCTAGGTGCCCCTGCAGAGTGGCCAGAGACTCAGTGTGGACCCACAGTAGAGACTCAGGGCAAAGGCCTTTCCCATTCCACTGTGACATCTTGAGTCCCTTTGACCCAGAACAGCAAAATGAATCTGTGAATGCCATGGAGTTTAAAAGCAGCGAGCCCGGCCACTACTTGTAACTGACTCAAAACCTGTAAGCCTTCCAGACAGATCTCTGTGCCCTGAGCCCCACCCCAGGCCTTTCTCACCACGTGGGCATCTTGTCCCAGCCGCTGGCCCTGCACAGGAGCCTACTGAATAGTCAGAGCAGGTTTCGTGAGGCAGGGCTACTCTCACACATACCCAGGGAGGCTACCGCCTGGACAGAGGCAGGGCACAGGTAGGAAGTCAGAGTTAGGGCCAAGCCCAGAGCCAGGGCGCAGCAGTTGTTCTGAGGCTTCCTGTCTTGGCGGGATCACGGAGAGCTTGCTGAGCATGAGGTCCCTGTGCTGGGCCCTGGTCTTGCGATGGGGTCACACCACGCCTGCAGCTCCTGTGCACCGGCAGCCAGGGAGGGGCTGGGCTGCAGCGGCCTCTTAGCTCCCCACCTGACGTGACCTCTCCTGCCCATTCCAGCTTCCACTTCCGGACGGAGGGCGGAACAGTGAAAGGAAGCTCAGAGGCTTCCTTCCCGGCCTCTGTTGCTGAGACCAAACCTTCCTTGGCACCCTCACCCCCTCCGGCACCTCCTGGCACCACAGTCCCGGGGACCTGTCTGGAGGGACCTGCTCCCAGCCCGGCCTCGGTGCCCTCCACCCCCACCCTGCTCGCCTGGAAGCAGCTGGCTTCCACCATACCCCAGATGCCTCAGATTCCCGCATCAGTGCCTCACCTGCCCGCCTCACCCTTGGCGACGACTTCTCTAGAGAATGCCAAGCCCCAGGTCAAACCCGGATTCCTCCAGTTCCAGGAGAAGTGAGTCCCTCCATGAGCCGGGCGCCCCATCCCCCAGCGTCTTGGGAGTGGGTGTGGCAAGGGCAGGAGGAGGCCCTGTTCCTCACCGTGCAGAGTTAACACTGGATGTCCCCACCCTCTGGGAAACGGCCTCTGGGCCACATCCTTCTAGCCAAAGATGCTGTGCTTGCGCCACCTCTCTGCCCATCCCAAGCAGCCAGCCGGTGGCAGGTAGCAGCAGTGGTCCCCAGGACCAGTTGGGATGGGCTGAGAGTGGATTCGCAGGTCTCCTGGCCCAACAGGGAGGGTCTCCCTCGCTGGCCTCTTCAGTGGCTCGAACCTGCTGAGATTGCAGGGCCGGGGAAGTCACAGGTGGGTGTGATGGGCTAGGCCCCTCCCAGGCCTGCACCCCCTGCATAGTGGCCTGAGTCTCGGGTGGAAGGGACCTTTCTCACTGAATGGTGGTGGCTCCTTGCGGCGAGAACGGTGACTTTGTATCGTAATGTGTGCGGCTTCCTGTTCTCAATAAAAGTAATAAATTGGATTATTTATACCGCCTGAGTGGCAACTGTCCTCCCTCTCTGAGCACCTGGGGCTGGGCCCGTGATTTGGAAGGGGACAGACTCCTCTCCGTCCCTCCCCCTCGCCCCCCCAGAAGTGGTGCCCTCCTAGTTTCCTGGTTGCTGTCAGAGCCCCCACCAGGGCTGCGCTCCTTGGCCAGTGCAGTGTTGCCTGCCAGTCAAAAGCTAGAGCCCCTCGTCCTCCCATAGCCCCCTGCAGCATGGGAAGCAGGGCTCCCAGGTAGGGGCCCGCTCCACTCCTCTGCCCTCCCAAGCAGGCCAGCCATAGGGGATGGCCCAGTACTCCCCGCCCATGCCCACCCATCATCCCTTACCACTCCCCTGGCTCCTAGGTCTCTGAGCAGGTGGGTATCATAGGCCTCAGCTGATCCTAGGGAGTGCCATCAGCTGTGAGCCTCAGCAGGCCCTGACACACGTTCCCACTTACTGAGGTCCTTGGTAGCAGCACTCCTGGTAGGGCCACCCACCCATCTGCAGCCTGTCAGTCAACCACATCCAAATCAGTGCCATGCCATGCCAGCCAGGCCCTTGATGGCATCCTGCCAGGGCTGGCAGCACCATCCCTTATTTTCATTTCCAAGAAGTTATTGCAGCCATCCTTATCTATAATCCCGAGGTGTGGCCGTGGAAACTACGTGTCCCAGCATGCAACGCTCTGGGCACCCTGCATATTGCAATCCCTGTGCACCAGGCAGAACTCCTAAAAGGAGGCTGGGATGCATGCTGGGATCTGTAGTCTCTGGTTGAATCGTCCTGCTAAGCAGGAGGGCAATCTGGGGACATTTCTCTTGATTGTACCACTGGTGACAGAGGAGTGAACCCCAACACAGCACAGTCAGGACACCAGCAGGGAGGGCTTGGGAACACCAATGACCTTCTGGGCTGTGGTTTCCTTGCAGCGACCCTTGCCTCGCGACAGACTGCAAGTACGCCAACAAGTTCCACTTCCACTGCCTCTTTGGGAACTGCAAGTATGTCTGCAAGACCTCCGGCAAGGCTGAGTCTCACTGCCTGGACCACATCAACCCCAACAACAGCCTGGTGAACGTGCGAGACCAGTTTGCTTACTACTCCCTGCAGTGTCTCTGTCCCAACCAGGTCAGCACAGCGGGCGGCCCAGCTGTGGGGGCAGGGGAGCCACAGGGCCTGGGACCAGTTCCTCCTGGCAGAGACTCTGCTTTTTGCACCCTTTTTAAGTTGGCTTCCACCAGACCCTGGAAAGGACACTGTCTGCCCCTAGGCCCCTGGAGGCCCCTGGGCTGGGGTCCAGATTGGTACTAAGTTAGTAAGGTCTATTATTTTAGTCCTAACCCCCAGTGGCAACTAAACACTATGCTGATGCTGTGTACTTAAGATCATTCATACCCATCTTGAAATTGGCTATTTCCCTTTTCTCCAGATGCATAAAATTTCTAAATTGGCCCATTGGATAGATAAAGAGAACTGTCCATGCCCAGACAGAAAGAGCAGATAAAATTCACTTTAAAGGCCTATCCCCAAGATAGGGGCTACCTGAGGACTCAGAGCAGAGGTCTGAGTGTGTAGAAAAGACTGGCTGGATAGATTAGTGGTGCCTACCTAGGTAGGTCCAGCTATGAAGGGAAGATGACTGGGATAGATTAATGATGTCTGCTCTGGGTGGCATTGAAGGATGGCAAAATAACTAAATAGGACGTTTAGTGAAATGACCGAAAGGACATGCTGCTGTTTGGCATGTGAAAGTTCTTTACAAGATTGCATTTTCTGATTCTGGGTGTGGAAGAACACAGGTGCCAAGGGCCTGCCACAGCCCAGAGTCCCAGTTCAGGCAGCAGCCCACACAAGTCCCCACGTGTCCTGATCTTCCCGTGCTTCCCTGCAGCACTGTGAGTTCCGAATGCGTGGACACTACCACTGCCTGCGGACTGGCTGCTACTTCGTCACCAACATCACCACCAAGCTGCCCTGGCACATAAAGAAGCATGAGAAAGCTGAGCGGCGGGCAGCCAACGGATTCAAATACTTCACCAAGCGCGAGGAGTGCGGCAGGCTAGGTACTAAGCCAGGGTGGGTAGGGACTTCTAGCAGGTACAGGCCAGTTGTCAAATTCACAAGGTGTCAAACCTAAAACATCCCAGGGAAGAGGACGAGAGTCACTCTGGCCTCCTCCATGCAAGCAGGATGCTGGAGCCTCACTGAGCCTCAGGGCTCAGCTTGATTCTCCCCTTTCCAGAGGGCAGGCAGGTGAGCTTCTCAGGGGTTTGGAAATCACTCGCCCTGGGTTGCTTTCCATAGCTTCAACTGTAGGGTTTTGTTTAAAATATGCCATTGTTTGTTCGTTCATTCAGCAGTAATTTACTGAAAAACACCTGTGTGCCAGAGCTATTGCAGGGACACGGGAGTGGTGACAGTGGCAGCAGCTAAGAATTTTTGAGTGTCTGGTATGTGCTGGCATTGGACTTGGTGCTGGAAACCTGGCGAAGATGTGTGGGCTCAGCTGGAGAATCTGATTGGCAGGATACTCAGGAAGGAGGTAGCCATGGGTCTGGGAAGAAGAGGTCACCCGCAGCCCTGAGCTTGGTGACAGATGCTGAGATCTGAGCCCCACAGGGAACAGGGCCTCCTTCTGGGGATGCCCAATGGGATTGGGGCTCTAGGGCCAGCAGGCAGAGAGCAAAGCCCACCCTCCTGCCTCAGGATGGAGCCCCGTGTTCATAGGCCTGTCGATGATGGGAATCATCGGGAAGAGACTGGGATGGGAATCTCCCTGGGAATAGACTGGAAGCTGAAGGAAAGGCAGGAGAAGGTGTCAGCATGGACACCTGGGCTGCAGGCTGCAGGCCAGGCTGGCTGTGGCCTGTGGTCATGGTTTCAGGGGCTGGTGGCAGAGGGAGGCTGCAGGCAGGCCCTTCCACAGAGGAAGGGCAAGATACTCATCAACTGCCAGAAAAGAAAGGAAACAAATCTTTCCTTCAAGTATTAATTCAAAAAGGATTCATGGCCAGGAGAGGGCTGGTAACCATGGTGACAGGTGTCAACACTCAGAAGTCCATGCTGTTACGGAGCTCAGTTTACAGATGTCAGGGTATTCTGAAGTTGCCGTTATTTGCTCAACTTTTGGTGTTTTTGGTGGTAGCTGGGGCCAAACAAAGCCGGGGGATGATATAAGACACCTGGCCAGCTCGGTGCCATGGTGACGGGCAGGCCTTCACCTGCCCTCAGCTGATGCTGTTTTGGCCCCACCTGTTCTGTTTGTTCTCAGCCTGGAGCAAAGGAGAGACATGGGGGCAGGGTGGAGGCTGGCTGCCACACCTACCAGCCCAGGTCCCCAGAGAAGGTTTTGGGGACAGGTGGCATGCTGTGGACAGGGCCCACTAGGTTTCCTTCCTACAGTATGTGGGCAGGGAGTGGGTCTGGACAGCCTTCGTAGCCTTGGACTTCCTGCAGGTGGCTGATTGTAAGCTTTCCTCAGAGAAATGCAGTTCAGGGTGCACATGCCACTGGCCTTGTCGATCACTCCCTGTGCCCAGAACAGTGCCCAACACACACTGGCTGTGAGCACTGGCTGCCTGGGGAGGCTTATGCAGATGGGGCCGTGTCCACAGGCTGCAAGTACAACCAGGTGAACAGCCACTTCCACTGCATCCGGGAGGGCTGCCAGTTCTCCTTCCTCCTGAAGCACCAGATGACCTCCCACGCCCGGAAGCACATGCGCAGGATGCTCGGGAAGAACTTTGATCGAGTGCCCGCCTCCCAGGTGAGTGCCTCAAGCAGGCCTGTGGGTGGCTCCACCAACCCGACAGAGGCCCTGCTGCCCCTAGCGAAGGCAGCAAACAGCTCCTCAGGCACCCTGCTTCCTCCCAGGGCCCCCCAAGCCTGATGGATGCTGAGACAGATGAGGGCATGGACTACACGGGCTGCAGCCCGGGTGCCGCCTCCTCCGAGTCCTCTACCATGGATCGCAGCTGCTCCAGCACCCCCGTGGGCAACGAGAGCACAGCGGCAGGTGAGCGCAGGACCCCTGCCTCCAGCCCCACTTTGCCGAGTCCATCCTGGACACAAGGTTCACAGTGAGGTAGCCCTGAGGAGGACAGGCTGGTGTGCAGTGGACCAGCTGGTGTGTGGGATGTGGGACACTGAGGCCACCTCCTACCATCCTGCCACCTCCCCAGCACTCTGCCTTGTGCTTCAGTTTCCAGGAGAGGAGCCTGGGCCTGTCCTCCAGAGTTCCAGGAAGGCAGTACAGCCCAGCCCTCCCGCCTGCCCTGGCCCCCCTCAGGCCCTGGCCCCGCTCAGGCCCTGGCCCACTGCAGACTGGGCCTGGGGTCCAAGAGAGGCACCCACCTGCCAGGCCCACCCTGACCGCTCACAGCCGCCCTGCGGCCTCCCTCCTCTCGCTCCTCTCTCTGCTCCTCTGTCCAGTGTCTCCCACCTGCTCCACCATTGGTTTCTCATTTTGGTTCTTTTTGTTTGTTTGTTCTTTGTTTTGGTTCTTTTTTTTTTTTTTCTCTGCTTTTCTCCACCCTCTCCAGGCGGCCCGGCTCCTCCTCCTCCTCCTCTTCCTCCTCCTGCTGCCACTGGTGACGAGGCCGCCCGTGGGGCCCCACGGCCCCCCCTGACTCCACCCTTCCCACCGGCTGCGCTCCGGCCGCCCCTCCCCCCCCTCCCATGCCTCTTCTCTCCGTCCTGTCTCTCATACTCTCTGCTCAGTGCCACTCTGGGAGCCAGTCGCGGCCTGGCCCACCCCATCAGCAGCCCGCCCAGCTTCCCGCCTGTCACTGCCACTCCAACTCCAGTAAAAAGTGACGTCCCCCTAGTTCAGGACGCCGCAGGTAACTCGCACACACATTCTCAGCAGTATCTGTCACCCCACCCGATCCTTGAGACTGTGGTCCAGGACCTGACCCTTTTCTGTGGCTAGCTCAGTCAAGGACAGGGCCACCCTGCATCCTGATGGCCAAGCACTCCTGAGACCAGAAAGCCTGGCTCCTATCCC